GCGGGACTCGATCCCAGGACCCTGGGATCATGACCTGAGCCGAAGGCAGATGCTTAACCATCTGAGCCACCCAGGCGCCCTAACCTTGTAATATTTTTTAAGAAGAGTCATCCAAAATTCTCACATACACCCACACACCCAACTCCCATACCCCCACACCCATAGAAGTTTTACATTGCTAATGAGTTAGTCTTTTTGTTGTGCCTTCAAAATTTTGTGTTGTTTTTAGAAATGCCTTCTTCGTTCTAAGATAAAAACATTTTATCATGTTTTCTACTAAAATTTTATTTATTTTTATTTATTTATTTTTTAAAGATTTTATTTATTTGACAGAGAGAGACACAGAGAGGGAACACAAGCAGGGGGAGTGGGAGAGGGAGAAGCAGGCTTCCCGCGGAGGAGGGAGCCCGATGTGGGGCTCAATCCCAGGACTCTGGGATCATGACCTGAGCCGAAGGCCGACGCTTAATGACTGAGCCACCCAGGCTCCCCTCTAATATTTATTTTTATATAAAGAATGAAGTAGGGATTGAATAAAATTTTTCTGCAAATGACTAGTCATTTATGCCAACATTGTTTACTCAATAACTTGCCTTTTTTCTGATTTTAAGTACCACCTCTATCATATACTAAATTCAGTAATTTTATTTTTATTTTTAAATTTTATTTAAATTTAATTAACATATATTAGTTTCAGAGGTAGAGTTCAGTGATTTATCAGTTGTTTATAATACCCAGTGCTCATTACATCACGTGCCCTCCATAATGCCCATCACCCATTTACCCCCACCCCCCTCAGTAACTTTATTTAAGAGAGAAAGTAAAGATGTATACAGTGATATTTAGCAACAGAAATGTTCATTGCAGTTTTATCATACCAAAAGGTCATTTAAATATGTAGCTATAAAGGAGTGGTAAAAAAAATTCCATGTATCAGAATATCTAAAACCCTTGAGAGCTACATGTGTGGTGTAGTTGGGGAGAGTGGTAGAGACAGATATGTTGAGCATGTAGGCCCCAAAAGGAAACAAAAACCTTTGGATAGATGCTGGAGACACTATGGCTATAGATAATCATCTACCTTCCTGGTTATTGAGATGACAGGCTTGTTCTTAGATGACAGGTCTTAGAGACTTTCCAGATACAACTTCAGACTCTGAAACCAATGACTCTTCAGCCTTACCTTTCTACCTAGATATATAGTCCTCATTTATGGTTTTGCCTTATCCAGTATTTATTTAGCTTTTCTTGACTACTTGATGGCTGATCCAAGTTCAGTAAGTAGTAAAAATAACCAGGAATAATATTCAAAATATTTAGCAATACAACTGTAGAGGTACTAATAAATAGGACAGGTTCTGAAAGTCTCCAATTAACTCATTAGTGATTGATGGATGAGTAGTATGTGGTGGTAGTGGTGGTGGGAGTTTTGGTAGGGGGAGAGGGCTACCAGGGTCTTGGGAGGGATGCTAGGGAGTTGGAACAACAGCTGTTTGCCAACTGGTATAGAAATATTTCAGTGTGTTATACTGGCATGATAATACTGGTGAGTAACATTAGCTAACAAGTATTGATTACTTACTATGTATGTAGATAGACCTGAGCACTTGATGTGTATCTTCAGGCACTTGACACATAGTCCACAGAAAAATACTATGTGGAAAATGCTATGATTATCTTCATTTTTTGGAAGAGAAATTTTAATAAGTTTCTAAATTATAATAATTTTTTTTTAAAGATTTTATTTTTTGACAGATAGAGAGACAGCGAGAGAGGGAACACAAGCAGGGGGAGTGGGAGAGGGAGAAGCAGGCTTCCCACGGAG